GTTTGTCAAAACTATTTAGTTCTATTTGAAATAATTGACTATTAATAGTTAGGAATCTAAAGGAGATTCTTTAATTTTTTTTTTAAATAGAAATTCGTTCTCATTATTTTGTGGAATAAAAACCAATTATACTATATCTTATAATATTTTACAGAGTTTGTGAAGTGTTATAAAAGTGGACCAAAGATTCTTATGAATTTTGATGATTGCAGATAAATTATAATGAATTCTTCAATTCTTGAGATCTATCAGGATCGACACTTGTTCACTTCATTTTAGATCATAGTAGAAATCTGTAGTCTTTACTGTATTTTTCGAACTTCTATAGATTTTGATAACATGCTGATGAAATTGTAATAATTAAAATTATTTTTCCTATAAACACTTATTATATGTCTGTTTTAGATCAACTAACGTAACAATACTATCATGACTACAAAAACTCCCCAATTCGCTCTCTACAAATCATTTGTAGATGCTTTTATGAAAGGTCATCCTGGCATGACTAAATATGTAAATACTTTATTTAAACATATAATTTTATTGTTTTATTTTTTTTGTAATAAAAAATTTCATTTCATAGGCCTGTCATTACAATGCACAAATGGAATGGAATAAAATGAAAAATAATGAAGATTTAATTAAGAAGAATATTGAAAAATATCTTGAAATTTCAAAAAAATCTAATGAAAATGAAAATGAAACTAAACAACAACAACAACAACAACCTATTAATAAAGAAATAATACAAGAGAAAACAATAATAAATGAACGAAAACGAACATTATCATCCGATGATGAACACGAACCATATGAACTAAATGCAGAATCTGAATTTGTTACACCTGTTGAACCAACTTTTACTATACGTGATTCTTCTAAACCAACAGAATTTAATGATATTAACAAACCATGGGTTTATCGTTCATTTGAAAGAGCTCGAGCTCGTGTTGAAGCACGTATTGCTAAAATAAAAGCACGACGTATTGCTAGTGAAAGTCGTGTAAAAACACCTGCACAAGAAACTGTTATTCAAGAAGTAAAAGAAATATCTGAACGTATTGCTAGTTTAGTTCAAGTTAAAAATATGGGTTTATCAACATCAGATTCAAATCATACATTAAAAAAATTACTTGAACAAAAAAAAGAACGTGTAGCTGAACTTAGCCGTTTACAATCAAAACAACGTTCATCAGCACGTTATCGTCAAAGAAAAAAACGATGTATTGAATCAATATGTGATGCTGATCCTGAAGTTGCTGCTACACTTTTAAAACTTTATAGACCAACAACACTTCGTGTACAAATTGATAATGTTTGTCCTGATTTAATACAAACAATTGAAGAAATTGCTCGTATTGGTGGAGCAGCTGATTCAAATCCTAGATTAATTAATACATTACCTTGTGAATCATTAGATGAATTAAGAACAAAAATAAAAGAACGTGGCTTTGAAATTCGACGATCATCGAATTTTTATCGGTAAAAGAAAATAATAAGTTTTTTTTTTTTGAAAATAATTAATATATCATATTCATATATTATTAGTCTTATACCTTATGGTATGTTTACTGACGATGGAAAAAGACATGTGAATACAAAAGCTGTTCGTCTTCGAAAACTTCAAGGCATTGAATTACCACCAAAACATGAAGGTTATTAAAATAAGAAAATTAAAATAAAAGCATTTTTTTTTTGTTTCTTTAGATTGTCATTTTGTATGTGCATCTTTACAACATATTAAAGATTTAGCTGGTACTTTTGGTAATGAATGTGTATTTTACGTTATTCAAGATAGAAAATCTTCTGTTAGAATTGGTCGACCATCAGCAAGAGGACATTCACCTTTTATATTACATTTAGATTATCAAATAAGTACAACTAGTTCTACACCAATGCCACCTACTATCACTCATCAACTTAAACCAACGTATGTTTTATAAAAAAAAAAAAACAAATTTGTATTTTTTATTTTTTATTTCAATAAATTTATTATCTTCTAGAGTTTATGCATCGTGTGTTATTGATGATACTGGTCTTGTTAGTTTTGCAGGTCCAACATATATATCAATTCGATCAGCTAAACATGATCGATTTACAGTTGATCATGACGATATTGATTTTGATTGTAT